AGAATTGCTTTACATGATATGGATAAGCTAAAAGAATTTATGATCACCGAAGAAGCACTACAAAGAATATTCAAAGATAAACTGCACAAAGATATATCTCAAAAACTCCCAAAGCTCCTAAATAGATGATGACCATGAGAAGAGCAACCAACTAAATGAAAATTAAGACAGAATTAAATGTAGTAAACAAACCAAAATATCAGAAAATTACAAACGCATATACATAATAACCATGAATGCATCTGGCCTCAATTCCTCAGTTAAAAGACCCAGATTAATGGATTGGATCAGAAAACCTGACAGGTCATCCAAGTATAAAATTAATAAGGATTTTTTTGACTTTAATATTATAAATCAAATGTACCTAATAGACATCTACACACATTTTCACCCCCAAACAGCTGAAATGAATTTACCTTTTTCCAGAAGCTCATGGAATCTTTTCCATTATTGATCATATTTTAAAATTAGTACAGCTTGCAAGAGGATATTTATTGAGCTCTCCATATAAAATGTGTTCATGAATTTGATGTGCTTTGACAGAAACGTGTTTTTCCAATAGCAAACAAGTATAAAAATATATCCAAGTGTTGCTATAACTGCAGTTCCTAGAACCCATTATTTAAAATCCATTTTTTATTAAAATGTTACTCTATATTTTCAGAAACATGGGTTAATTATAAACCAAAATTTTTCTTGCTATATTTTATGATATTCCCTGTAAAGTATATTTTTAATTTGTTACATTTATATTCCTCTCAAGAATGCTATAAAGCTACATCACATTTTTTCCTTAGAAATAAAATCATATACTTTCAAAGGCTTTTGATGACTATTATTGTGGGACCAAAAAGGAAAAAGGTTATAACTTTCAAATGTCATTTTCTAATTATAGTGAGCAAATCAGAAAGTGATTTCTCTGTATATTACTGGTAGAATCTCTATGAGGGGTTTCAGTAGTACTTCCTTCACCATCTATCTTTGAAATGCACAGAATCTTCTGAAACCCAATGTGGGACTATAACTTAAATGTTCTTGTGTATAGCCATGACAGTGACTGGTACAGAGTTAGCACACAATCAATTCTTAGAGAAGCATGGAAAGAAATACATGGAAAAGATGACTAATTTATATTAAGCACCATTGAGGGCTATGAATAAGGTACAGTTCAGTGCAACTTAGGTAACAAAGGTTGGCCTTTCTTTAGGCACTAGTCTAGAAGTTTTGATTTTTGAAGATCTCAGTAGAATATTAAGACCTATTTTCAGTTTTAGAAATCATTAGATTATTTAATTGGCATTGAATAAATTTAGTTTTTCAGTGCACAGACTGAGTTACCGCCACATCCTTTGTGGTGGTACAAGAAGCCTGGTCCTCTCTTGGAAAGCATGCTTCAATCTTTGTTTTGGTCAGTAATGGGAAAACAGTCTGTCTCAGCAGGTCAGTGTAGAGAATTGTTTTATGTAATGGTTACGTGTACATGTATCTTTGGGAATCTTTCTTGACCGAGAAAGGCATTGCCTTTCTGACCTTTTCCTGCCATATCTCCTAGTGATATGTATCTGTAGAGCCAACTTGGACCAAGATGATCTAGGGGTGTGCCTATGTGGTAACCCTTGGCAATGTCTCTATTATTTTTATCACTTACCCCTGTTAGAAAATATTCCCTGTTAGAGAAACCTCAGAGATGGAAGTTCGTTTTGAATCTTTAAGGTTTTCAGGAGTACCCACTAAGACTGCAAGTCCCCTGGGCAGTGT